ATCAGACGGCCAATCAGAATCAAGCAAATCTCATTACGTCAGACACTGGTAGACCGTATTTGGTTATTGGCCCATCAGAGGTAACTATCCTGCCTGGTCGTTTACGTACACAGTATAAGTCTATCACCTCGTTAACAAACACACACACACACACACAGTCTTACATTATATCATAGCTGGATAGTGTGTGTCTGTCTGTCTGTCTGTCTGTCTGTCTGTCTGTCTGTCTGGGGATTATTTGTAGGGTGATTCTTACGCCACCTCTTGACCGTTCATTAAAGGTAGGCCGAGCTAGGCCGGGCTAGGACTACTGCTGAGACGGGCTACAACCTACACTTAGGATAGATCAGGCCTACAGCTAGGTCAGGGAGGACTACTGCTAGGACCACAGCTAGGATAGGCTAGGCAGGCACATCAAAGAGTCATTTGTGAGAGTCAGGTCCCAGCACCGCCTCGCTTATCGCTGTTGAATATTCATGATGGTCCACACTACCATGACCCTGTTATTGGCACCATGGCCCTGTTATTGGCACCATGGCCCTGTTATTGGCACCATGGCCCTGTTATTGGCACCATGACCCTGTTATTGGCACCATGGCACTATGCCACCCCTGTTCACAGACACACGAACCGACGACAACCTCTCATGTTTACAGACAAACACACGTGCAGAATCAAAGAGCGAAATGTCACCAGCCCGTGTAACCAGCCCCATGTCACCAGCCCCATATAACCCCCCAGGTAACCACCCCAAGTAACCAGCCCCGTGTAACCAGCCCCATATAACCACCCCCAAGTAACCACCCCCAAGTAACCAGCCCGTGTAACCAGCCCCGTGTAACCAGTCCCATGTCACCAGCCCTATGTAATCGTGTAACCAGTCCCGTGTAACCACCCCCATGTCACCAGCCCCGTGTAACCAGTCCGTGTAACCAGCCCCATGTCACCAGCCCATATAACCACCCCAGGTAACCACCCCCAAGTAACCAGCCCATGTCACCAGCCCATGTCACCAGCCCCATATAACCACCCCCAGTAACCACCCCCAAGTAACCAGCCCGTGTAACACTGTGCATTATAACCCGGTACTACCCCATACCAGCCCTGTAAGGGTTACCACCCCAAGTAACCAGCCGTGTACCTGTGTCCATGCCCATGTCACAGCTATAACCACCCAAGTACCACCAGTAACCAGTGTAGCCACTGTGTCCTGTTATAACACCCCAGACTACCAGTGTTCCCAGGTTACCAGGCGTGTAACCACCCCATGTCACAGTGTCACCCATTACATGTAACACCAGTAACCCCCTAGTGTAACTACCCACTGTCACCAGCGCATATAACCACCCCAGTAGCTACTCAGGTAACCAGCCCCGTGTAACCAGCCCCAGGTTACCACCCCCAGTAACCAGCCCGTGTAACCAGCCCCGTGTAACCAGCCAGGTTACCACCCCGTGTAACCAGCCCGGTAACCAGCCCCGTGTAACCAGCCCCGTGTAACCAGCCCCAGGTTACCACTGTGTAACCAGCCCGTGTAACCAGCCGTGTAACCACCCCCAGGTTAACCCCAAGTAACCAGCCCGTGTAACCAGCCGTGTAACCAGCCCCGATGTAACCAGCCCCCAGGTTACCACCCCAAATAAACCAGCCCGTGTAACCAGCCCGTGTAACCATGCATAACACCCCCAGGTAACCACTAGTAACCACCTCAGTAACCACCCCAGGTAACCACCGGTAACCACCCCCAGGTAACCACCCCCAAGTAACCAGCCCCGTGTAAGACGATGGACAGTATTCAACAGAACTTGACAAATTTAAATCACGACAAAAAAACCCAATGATAAAATATGAATGAAATAAAGTTCCTATGTATAAATAACTCTGTCCCCTTTGTGGTGGTAATGTTATGCATAGTGAATGAGTAAAAAGTGTGGGTAGTTATACATATTGAAGAGAAGGCAATAACATTCACCTAAACATAACCCACACACAGACTTGTTGGGTTATGCATAATGTAAACATGTAGTCAGAAAGTTCTCTCTCTCTCTCTCTCTCTCTCTCTCTCTCTCTCTCTCTCTCTCTCTCTCCTATGTAAACTAGAAACCTATTTATGTTGATCAGTTATGAATATAGGGCGTGTAGAGGAAAGGTTATTTTTATTGTGGTGAAGACAGTGAGGGCGTATGGGGTGGTGAGGTCATATAACCTAAGTACAGTCCCCTTCACTAGTGCGTTTACAGGGGCTCGTCATATAGCCTAGGTACAGTCATCCCTTCACTAGTGCGTTTACAGAGGGCTCGTCATATAAACATTCCCACAAATCATTACATTGAGATATTTGTTTTAATATTGTTTTACATTGATTCCATAGTATGTTGACTATTGTGAGTTACCTTCTGTTTAATGTAAACAAACATACACTGCACACAACCTGACGAGCCCTTGTAAACGCACTAGTGAAGGGGACTGTACCTAGGCTGACGAGCCCCTGTAAACATACTAGTGAAGGGACTTCACCTGGGTTATATGACGAGCCCCTGTAAACACACTAGTAGAGGGACTGTACCTAGGCAATATGACGAGTCCCTGTAAACTCACTAGTGAGGGGACTGTACCTAGGCAATGACGAGTCCTGTAAACTCACTAGTGAAGGGACTGTACCTAGGCTATATGACGAGCCCTGTAAACACATAGTGGGGACTGCACCTAGGCTATATGACGAGGCCCTGTAAACACACTAGTGAAGGGACTGTACCTCGGCTATATGGCCGAGCCCCTGTAAACTCACTAGTGAAGGGACTGTACCTAGGCTATATGACGAGCCCCTGTAAACTCACTAGTGAAGGGACTGTACCTAGGCTATATGACGAGTCCTGTAACTCACTAGTGAAGGGACTGTACCTAGGCAATATGACGAGCCCCTGTAAACACACTAGTGAAGGGGACTGTACCTAGGCTATATGACGAGCCTATGCTGCCTAGTGAAGGACTGTACCTAGGCTATATGACAGGCCCTTATCACTAGTGAAGGGCTGTCCTGGCTATATGCGAGTCCTAAACACACTAGTGAAGGACTGCTTCATTTATATGGGCCTTAAAAACACACTAGTGAAGGGACTGTACTTAGGCTATAAAGGCCTCTGTAAAACACTTACCAAATGAAACATGCATTTCTACATTCACAGACATAAACATAGAGAAGAAAAATGTGGTGTGTGTGTGTGTGTGTGTGTGTGTGTGTGTGTGTGTGGTCAACAGTAACCATGATGTCACCTGGGGTCAACAGTAACCATGACATCACCTGGGGTCAACAGTAACCATGACATCACCTGGGTCAACAGTAACCATGACATCACCTGGGGTCAGCAGTAACCATGACATCACTGGGGTCAACAGTAACCATGAGCATCACCTGGGGTCAACAGTAACCATGACCCGTTTATCAGGGGTGTGGTTTGTGCCAAGAGCTTATCCGCACATTGAATATTGATCTGGGAGGAGAATCACTAGTTTGTTTATAAAATTCTACTACCACTACTACTACTACTACTACTACTTTACATTCCACCTAGTATTCTCTCTCTCTCTCTCTCTCTCTCTTCTCTATAAATGATTCTCTCCTCAACCACTGGACACACACACACACACACACACACACACAGTTTCTCGTCAGTGTGTAATATTTCCTAGTAATCATATTATATTATTTATTGTTATTATGACCCTACAATCCCCACCACCACCATCACCACCACACACCTGCCCAGCCACCACCACCACTCACAACCACCACCACCACCACAGCCACCCACCCACTACAACAACCACCACCACCACCACAATCACCACCACGGTCATACTGCCACAAGATAGACATCACAGCTCGGGATGGGGTGTGGTGGAGAATAAGTCATTTTCCTGCACTGCGGCATATACACACTTGCTGAACAACCATACGACCTCTCTCTCTCTCTCTCTCTCTCTCTCTCTCTCTCTCTCTCTTCTCTCTCTCTCTCTCTTTACACTTAAGGTCGTTAGTGTATTTTTACGCAATTTATATAAGCGATAGAGAGAGTTTAGTGTTTGGTATATGCATCTATCTGTCTGTCTGTGATGATGTGCGGTGGAACGGCAGTGGTGGGTGGCAGTATAGTGGTTGTGTGGTGAAATGGCGGTGTGGTGGGCGGCGGTTCGGTGGGCGGGCGGTGGTGTGGCGGTGTGGTGGGTGGTGGGTGGGTGGTGGTGCGGTGTGGTGGGTGGCGGTGTGGGGCGCGGTGTGGTGGGTGTGGGCGGTGTGGTGGGTGGCGCGGTGTGGTGGATGGCGCGGTGTGGTGGATGGCGCGGTGTGGTGGATGGCGCGGTGTGGTGGATGGCGCGGTGTGGTGGATGGCGCGGTGTGGTGGATGGCGCGGTGTGGTGGATGGCGCGGGTTGGTGGGTGGCGGTGGGTTGGCGGTGGGCGGCGGTGGGTCGCGGTGAGCAGCAGTGGGAGGGTGTGGTGGGTGGCAGTGTGTTGGGTGGCAGTATGGTGGTGGCAGTGTGGTGGGCGGCGGTGTGGTGGTGTGGTGGTGGCGCGGTGTGGTGGGTGGCGGTGTGGTGGGTGGCGCGGTGTGGTGGGTGGCGGTGTGGTGGGTGGGGGTGTGGTGGGCTGGGTGCAGTGTGGTGGGCGGCGGTGTGGTGGGTGTGCGGTGGGTGGCGCGGTGTGGTGGGTGGCGGTGGTGGTAGTGGGTGGCAGTGGGCGGCAGTGGGAGGCGGTGTGGTGGGCGGCCAAAGAGCTAGCGGACAGGTAACATTAATCACCACCAAGATGGTTCTGTACACCTTAATCGATGACCAGGGAAGACCAGTGACTCATCACCACCACCACCACCACCACCACCACTACTACACTACCACCACCACCACCACCACCACCACCATCCCTGTACCACTACCATCCATGGCCTCTCTCTCTCTCTCTCTCTCTTTTTCTTTCTCAGCCTGCAGACCCCACTATTCCAGACCCAGGTCCAGACCCAAAGTTAAGGTCCCAAAATCCAGAGCCCCATAGTCCAGACCTCAGAGTCAGACCTCAGAGTCCAGACCCCAAGAGTCCAGACTCCAGAGTCAACCCAGGTCCAACCCTCAGGTCAGCCAAGTCGACCCCAGAGTCAGACCCAAGTCGACCCAAGTCAGACCCAAGAGTCCAGACTCCAGAGTCCGAACCCTCCAGAGTCCAGACCCTCCAGAGTCCAGACCCCAAGAGTCCGACCAAGAGTCCAGACCCCAAGTCACGACCCCAGAGTCAGACCCAAGTCCAGACTCAGGTCAGACCCAAGGTCAGACCAGAGTCCAGACCCCTCCAAAGAGCTTACAATAAGTCGCCCATAACAATGCTTCTCACAACGACCTTCACCATTTGAGATACGACCCTCTGAGTTAACGACCCGTGATGAGAGCCAATGATAAATCAGCTCACCAGATAGGGGATGCTATTGGTTGAGGAGGAGATGATTTAAGATAAGCTGATTCTTGACGGGTCTCTCAAGTGTGCGTGAGAGTGTGTGTGTGTGTGTGTGTGTGTGTGTGTGTGTGTGTGTGTGTGTGTGTGTGGCCCTCATCTCCAGGTATCCTCATTTGCCTAATTAATCATAAAGGTGGACCAACAGGAACAAATATCACCTGTAATATTGTACACCACACACCTGCCTCAACCTGTCTCACCTTTCCTATGCAAATTAAGATAAATATATGAATAAATTATGATAGATTAAAAATTAAATTTGAAAAAAAATAAAAACTCAGAATCCCAAATAGGTCCACCAGAAGATCTATTACCTGGCGTAAAATTTAGACTAATTTAGTTTTCGCAGGATGAAAATTAATAACATTATTGGTTTGGTTAGGTTAGGTTAGGTTAGGTTAGGTTAGGTTGGTTAGGTTAGGTTAGGTTAGAGGTGACATTTATTAGTGGTGAAAGTTAGGTTATTGGTTAGTGGTGAGAGTAACATTGTAGTGGTGAGAGTAACATTGTAGTGGTGAGAGTAACATTATAGTGGTGAGAGTAACATTACTGGCCATTGATGAAAGTGATAGCATTTTCACCACGGGAGGTCACCTGGGACGAGGGTTGGCCCAAGGCTGTTATCTCACCCCTGACTTGGCCCGCCCTGAGAGACCTTCCCTCTCTATTATATTATGGTGAGGGCTGGTGGTGGTGTGAGGGCTGGTGGTGTGAGGGCTGGTGGTGAGGGCTGGTGGTGGGGGCTGGTGGTGGTGTGAGGCTGGTGGTGGGGGCTGGTGGTGGTGAGGGGGCTGGTGGTGGTGTGAGGGCTGGTGGTGGTGGGGGGCTGGTGGTGGTGTGGGGCTGGTGGTGGTGTGAGGACTGGGGTGAAGAGAAGGTGGGTGGCAGGTAGGTAGAGTGGCAAACCGGATGGGCGGCAGGATGGGCGGCATGTTAGGTGGCAGGCAGGGAGGCAGGCAGGGGAGGGCAGGAGGCAGGCAGGAGGCAGGTAAGGTGGAGGCAGAGAGAGGCAAGGTGGCAGGTTAGGTGGCAGGCAGGCAGGGTGGCAGGCAGGGAGAGGCAGGTTAGGTGTGGCAGGACACGGCAGGGTGGCGAGCAGGGAGGGCAGGATTAGGTGGGGGAGGCAGGCAGGGTGAGGCAGACAGAAGATGGATTACAGTGGCAGCATCACCTGGAGATATTCTCGCCAGGGTGAGATCCTAAACCATTAATTTTGGTCAAGTGTTGGAGACCCACATAAAGTGTCGCGTCCAGGCCAGGTGTGTGGAGCCAGGTGTGTAGGGGCCGGGTGTGGGGTCCAGATGTGTGGGGGCCAGATGTTGGGGGCCAGATGGGTGGGGGACCCAGGTGTGTGGGGGCCAGGTGTGTGGGAGCCAGATGTGTGGGGGCCAGGTGTGGGGGCCAGATGTGTGGGGAGCCAGGTGTGTGGGGGCAGGTGGTGGGGAGCCAGTGTGGGCCAGATGTGTGGGAGCCAGATGTGTGGGGGCCAGATGTGGGGGGCCAGATGTGTGGGGGCCAGATGTGTGGGGGCCAGGTGTGTGGGGGCCAGGTGTGTGTGTGTGTGTGTTACCTCAGAACACACACACACAAACACTCATTACGTCATAATAAGCTGCAGTTATTTGACTCCTACACAACGAAAACCATTAATATGTAAAAAATAAAATAACAATATAAAATACCACACCTAATACAATAACAATGAGGTGTTATTGTTCCACGTTATTAACAGAGAAGAAAAAATCACACCACCTGCTCCTGTTGTCATTGAGGAACTTTAAATTGGTGTAAAAATTCTATATTAAATACATACGAACAAATATTATATGAAAATAACTAAATAATGTATAAGAGTAAATAAATACGTTTATAATGGTGGATACAGCAGTTATATATTAATTTTTCGTATCTGTCTGTCTGTCTGTCTCTGTCTGTCTGTCTCTGTCTGTCTGTCTGTCTGTTCTGTCTGTCTGTCTGTCTGATGAAGTTATTGCTACGTGGTGCTTCGTCCCTTTGTTTAATACTGTGTGGCAACTCTCTTTGTTGACACTGATCAGCTGATTAGACTGTCCAGGATTTTATTGTCTCTCTTCCCGTCTTCCTCCTCTTCCTGTCATCCTCATCTTCCTTCTATTCCTCTTCCTATCTTCCTCCTCCACCTCCTCCTCTTCCATTTTCTTCTTCTTCTCCTCCTCCACCTCTCTAGCCTCCCCTTCTCTTAATCGTCTTCCTCCTCTTCTTCCACCCTCTCCATCTCCTCCTCCTCCTCCTCTTCCTCTCCTTCCTCCTCCTCCTCTTCTCCTCCTTCCTCCTCCTCCTCTCCCACCGATACACAGCATAAGAGGGTAACCTTGAGAATCTTCGCTTGTGAATTTAATGAATATTTTATGAGAAGTGAGCCAGACGGACCAGCTGGGTGGGCCACCTAGCCACCCACGACAGACAGACAGAGATAGACAGATTAGAGACAGAGATATAGCAAGATTAAGAACAGAAGATAAACAGACAAGAAGAATAAAAGCACAAAACAAAAAACACAGCAACACAAAAGGTAGCGTCATCAAAACAGACCCATTCATCCCTCCTGAGACAAACCTACACCTCCCCTCCTCCCCCTCCCCGCGTCTTCTGTTTAACCCTACAAGACAAAACAAACAGAGACAACAGAAGGCAGATAACAGAAGGCAGATAACAGTAAGTGAAACAGGCGAGACGTGTCCGGGGATTCGTAACTCCCACCCCTTCCCCCACTCTATGTGCTCTAGTCGGTGGTAACCCTCCCTCCCCTTTATGGTGTTAGAGAGGGTTACCTTATACTGCCCCTTTATTATACGCAGGTGCCCCTTGCCTACCTGTCCCACACCTTTATGTCACACGAGCTAAATCTATTTACCGTCAACCTGTACTTGTGGTAGTCTCTCTCTCTCTCTCTCCATCAACTATTTCCCCCCTCCTTCTTCCCTCATTTTACGGCACCAGAAACAGGGAGTGAGAGGGAAGAGGAAAGAGGTGAAGGAGGTGTGGGAGGGATGATGAAAAGACATGAGAGAAAAGAGAGTAGAGAAAGTGAGAGGGAGGGAGAGGGTAAAGTTGCCCCTCTCACTGTCTCCTTTATTTGTTTTTATGGCCAAGAACTTTCCTCCTCTTCCTCCTCCTCATTTCCTTCATTCTCCTCCCCATACCTCTCCCCTCCCCCTCCTCTTCCTTCTCTCTTCCTCTTCCTCCTCCCCTTCGTGCATAAAAACTCAGCAGAGAGAGTTCAAGGATAAAAGAGAGAGAGAGAGAGAGAGAGAGAGAGAGAGAGAGAAGAGATTCGTGATACACACACACACACACACTACACACACACACACACACACACACACACACACACACACACACACACGTACACATGTCTGGCTCGTAAACGTTGGATGATAGAAATAAAGTACACAAGTTCCTTCCTCCTGATCGGGGGAGGAGGAAGAGGGAGAAGGAGAAGGAGAAGGAAGAAGGAGAAGAGAGAGAGAAAGAAGGAGAAGAGGAAGAGAAAGAAGATAGATGGAGAGGAAGAAGGAGAAGAGGAAGAAGGAGAAGAAGAGGAAGAGAAAGAATGAGAAAAGGAAGGAGAAAAAAAGAAAGAGAAAGAAAAAGATAGATGAAAAAGAGGAAGAGGAAGAGTGAGGAGAAAGAAACGGCCAAGAGGGAACTAAGCTGCCAGGGGTCACGTGGACACAACAGGGAGGCAATAATGAAGGAAAAAGATGAGAGGAGAGAGAGAGAGAGAGAGAGAGAGAGAGAGAGAGAGAGAGAGAGAGAGAGAGAGAGAGAGCGTAATCTCCACATAGGACAGTGAGCACCAACTGAGCCCAAAAAAAACCTAACCACACACACCACACTGTGAACTATATCCCAGCTATGAGAGAGAGAGAGAGAGAGAGAGAGAGAGAGAGAGAGAGAGAGAGAGGTCCCACTCACTAGACTCAGTAAGAGGGTTGAAAAGTAGTCCTAGCCCACTGTAGCCCTAAACCCTTGTAGTCCTAGCCCACTGTAGTCTGAACCATGTAGTCCTAGCCCACTGTAGTCTGAACCCTTAGTCTAGCCCACTGTAGTCTGAACCCTTGTAGTCCTAGCCACTGTAGTCTGAACCCTTGTAGTCCAGCCCTGTAGTCGAACCCTTGTAGTCCAGCCCACTGTAGTGAACCCTGTGTCCTAGCCTGTAGTCGACTGTAGTCCTAGCCCACTGTAGCCCTAAACCCTGTCTGCCCTGAGCCAACCCTTGTAGTCCAGCCCACTGTAGTCTGAACCCTTGTAGTCCTAGCCCACTGTAGCCCTAAACCCTTGTAGTCTAGCCACTGTATTGAACCTTTAGTCTAGCCCACTGTAGTCTGAACCCTTTAGTCCTAGCCCACTGTAGTCTACCCTTGTAGTCCCAGCCCTGTAGTCTGAACCCTTGTAGTCCTAGCCCACTGTAGTCTGAACCCTTGTAGTCTAGCCCACTGTAGTCTGAACCCTTGTACTCCTAGCCCACTGTAGTCTGAACCCTTGTAGTCCTAGCCCTGTAGTCTGAACCCTTGTAGAGCCTAGCCCACTGTAGTCTGAACCCTTGTACTCCTAGCCCACTGTAGTCTGAACCCTTGTAGTCCTAGCCCACTGTAGTCTGAACCCTTGTACTCCTAGCCCTGTAGTCTGAACCCTTGAGTCCTTAGTCAACCCTTGTAGACCTAGCCCACTGTAGTCTGAACCCATGTAGTCCTAGCCCACTGTAGCCCTAAACCCTTGTAGTCCTAGCCCTTACCCCCATCATTTCACACACACACTTCATCAACACAGGTAAGGTCAACACAGGTAAGGTCAACACAGGTAAGGTCAACACACGTAAGGTCAACACAGGTAAGGTCAACACAGTAAGGTCACAGG